GTCTCTGAGTCAAGTGTTTCTTGCGTATTGTGTTGCTTCACTGGACTAGGTGTTTCACATCTTGTTAAATGGCTGTACACTGAAACTCTTACCTATGAATGTTTAATGAACTTAAGGGAATGTCAGGCACAGACAATTCATTTGTTGAACACTGCAATTTGTCAAGAATTTCAAGTAGTTAACCTGAGTTTCAAGATAAAACAAAGACATACATGCCTAATATGGAAGGTAATTCTCCTTTCCAAGGATTGTAGTAAACCTGGACAAAGTGTACACCTTCCATGTAGCAAAAATAAATGTCACAGTGGAAAGGCTGTTGACAGATTCTCATGCTCAAAGTTCAAATTCCTGATGGCCACATATTGCAATTTGGGAGGGTCATTGAAAATATTTTGTTTTGCAAAGGGCGGGTCATATTTAGCAGTGCAGGGGATTTCTACTGGCTGTGTTCTCAGGGATCACTTCTGGTAGTGCTATAGGGAAGGGGTACCATATGCAGAATCAGGGATCAAATCAGAGTCAGATGTATATAAGGCAAAACGCTTAATCCCCGCACAAGCTCTTTGGCCCTACAATTTATGTATGAACTCTGGACCTCCTCACCACTCCTGACCTTGAAGACTGCTTCTCTATTGAGGGTAGATTTTTCTGTGCATTCCTGGATTCCTAGCAACATCGTTAGCTGTGCTCACTAGATACTTACAGCACTTCCCTCCCTAACTATGCACTGTAGCACTGCCCACTGTCATCCCATTGTTCATTTGATTTGCTCGAGCGGGCACCAGTAACGTCTCCATTGTGAGACTTGTTGTTACTGTCTTTGGCATATCGAATATGGCACGGGGAGCTTGCCAGGCCCTGCCATGCAGGTGTGATACTCTCAGTAGTTTGCCAGGCTCTCCGAGAGGGACAGAGGAATCGAACCTAGGTCAGTCACATGCAAGGGAAATGCCCTATCCGCTGTGCTGTCGCTACAGTCCTCCTAACTATAAAACACAAAATGTTTCTAGGTTTCATTTAAAGTTTCCTACAACAAAAAATCACCCCATTAAGGATCACTGAGTTTTATGCTCAAGGATTTGGTTCTCAAACACTCTAGCTGTCTGACAGAAATTATTTTTTTCTTAGTATTTGTGCCTCAGTTCTGGTCTCTGTTTGTTGTGATATAAACTAAATAGCTGATCTTGAGGAATAGATAGAACCCTCCATTTACATTATTTGGTTTATCCTATGTGTGTATCCGGTAAATGGTATGTACTATCACTATCCTTATTATTTATCTTTTTAACTATTACCAATCAATTGTTATTTTCTCATAGTTCTGATCAGAAGAAAAAAATTAATTAAGACTTAGAAAAGAAAAAGTTCTTTCCTCAAGGAGTGGCAATGTACTTTACTTCAACATGCATGTAGAAATTCTTAGTCACACACCCGATTGGTGATTTCCTTGAATCCATTTATGTTACCTGACCTCCAACTGTACAGATGCCCTGCATAATTCTCCTTATGCAGTTTAAGCATGGCATTGAGGAAAATAAATGTTCTTCAAAATTTTAGTGCTATTTTAGTAGATTATTTATATTTATTCTCCACTAGCATTTCTTACATAATGTATGGCATGAAAAATTGCAGTGAAATTGTTATTGAATTCTTATAATAAAATTATGAGCAAGAGATCTGACACATAATTTACCAAAGAGAAAATCTAATGAGAAATTGGTGCCCAGAGGTAATATTCTGTTATCAAATAAATACATGCAAATAAAATACCATTTCTTCCTATTAACTTAACAAAAGAAACATTGAGAAAGGTATAGCAAAGCTATGGAGGATTTATTATTTTTTCTTTTCTTTTCTTTTTTTTTTTTTTGGTGTTTGGGCCACACTTAGAGGTACTTAGGGTTTACTCCTGGCTCTGTGCCCAGAGATCACTCCTTTCAGAGATTAGGGGAATGTATGTAGAGCCAGCGATAGTATTCATGTTCTCTGTGTGCAAGGCAACCACCTCAGCCCCTGTTTTATGTCTCTAGCCCCTGCATGGCTCTAAAACACTAAAACTGAGACCCATCTTTGGGAAAACAATTTGTTCATCCCTGTTTAGTCTTCTTAAAGAGACTCACTCAAGTACTTCCTTGAGTCTATGCTGACAGTGCACAAAAAATAAGAGATACATACATTCATTTTTTTCTTATGCACTTTGCACTTTATGTTCAGAGTCCTTAAATGCTTTCATTATATCTAATTCTGCCTGAATTCCTAATTTATATGAATCTCTTCAGACTGACAATTCCTTGAAAAATGTTAGCTCAATTTACCAACCAAAACTCAGAGACATAATTACTCAGAGAAATAATTATCCAGAATATATATTCTCTTTATCTAAAAGTGAGTTTAATACAATACCCTGTACCACATCTAATTCTTATCTTGAGGGAATAAACTTTCTGATCCCACACTGATATATCTATCCTATCTTTGCATGTTCAACATAGGAAATAATAGGATGGTGTGAACTGGAGAGGAGGAAAGGGAAGAAAAAGGATATAAAATCATATATAACCAAAGGTCTTGCAACAGTGGAACCCTTACTGCTAGTAGTTTCTTTCATGTAGTTTATCTCAAAATTGCAAACAATTGAATGGTGAAAGGAAAACCCAAGCTAAACCCAACCTAAACAATTTGCTTTAGTAGTGAATAGGATGAAAGACTATAATTAAAAAACAAACAAACAAAAAACAATTACCAAACAGAAGAAGAAGGAAATGGGGGAGAGTCACTGTCACTGTCCTCCCGTTTTTCATCGATTTGCTCGAGCGGGCCCAGTAACATTGTGAGACTTGTTACTGTTTTAGGCATATCGAATACGTCATGGGTAGCTTGCCAGGCTTTGCCATGCAGGCGAGATACTCTCGGTAGCTTGCAGGGCTCTCCCAGAGGGGCTGAGGAATCGAACTCGGGTCAGCTGTGTCAGCCACATATAAGGCAAACTCCCTACCAACTGTGCTATTGCTCCAGCCCGGGGGAAGAATAAAGAGGTGGAATAAAAGTGACATAGGGGCAGAGGTAGGAAGTCATGGGGTCTTTGATGGTGTTGGAGAGCAGTAACTAGATATGTCAATACCAAATACTTGACACTATTGTAACCATCTTAAAAAAAAAAACTATACTAAAATAAGTGAAATTAAAAAAAAATGAAAGCTATTTGTTTAAATGTGAACTTTAGGAGGGTTAAGACCAATGTCTTCCAGTCAATGTAGCACTAAAGGATCCAGTGGTTCAGAGAGATAGGACATTGTTAGGGCATTTACCCTGCACATGGACGAGCTGGGTTCCATCCCTGGCACCTCATATGATTCCCTGAACCCCACCAGGAGGGTCCCTGAGCACAGAGCTAAAACTAAGAGAGTAAACCCTGAACACTACCAAGTGTGTCCCCAAACCAAACACACAAACAAAATAATTCGGAGTAGCACAACTTCCAACTAATAGGCACAATGTTTGTTGACAGTTTCAGCTGACAACTCTTACAATTTTTCTGATTCTGTGAAGTCCCTGCTGCACCCCCCCCCAATATCCACAAGATTCTGCCTTTAAAAAAGCCCAGTCCCCTCTGTACAAATTGAAGTTGAGTCCAGTTCATATTGTACTTTCTTCTATAATGAAACAATGTGCTACAGGCTAAAGTCTGCCCTTACCACTTTAGTTTATGGTTTTATTTTTGACAGGTAAATTTCTAAGGAAATAGTCTTTCTTCACTAGGTAGTTTCATGATGATGGGAAAATAGTCACTGAATTCATTAGCAGGCGTATTATATTTCAGGAAAAGAAAATAGTCCCTACACATGTTCATGAATAAAAGTTTAACAAAACTTTTTTGAAAAGAAATTCTGATGTAAGAATTCCATATTAAGCATCTAAACACATCTGTTATGCACAACATAATGGTGAATTTTTTGAGGAATGATTTCTTAGAATCACAAATGATGTATAAATTCCAAGATGTTTACACATTTGGAGGGGTATGCATCTGTCCTGCATGATTGCTTATTGTACTAAAATACTTAGTTTATACTATGAACTTTATGTCTTTGTTTCAAGTCTCAGAATCAGGGTGTGAAATCTTGTGTTGAGGAAAGAATTAACTGCTACCCTGAAGTGAGTAAATCAATGTTTTACTTTCTTCTATTTCATTTTTACCGGATACCGGATACCAGAAGCGATAGCACAGCGGTAGGGCATTTGCCTTGCAAGCAGCCAACATGGCCGACCCGAGTTTGATTCCTCCGCCCCTCTCGGGGAGCCCGGCAAGCTACCGAGAGTATCTCGCCCGCACGGCAGAGCCTGGCAAGCTCCCCGTGACGTATTCGATATGCCAGACACAGTAACAACAAAGTCTCCAATGGAGACGTTACTGGGCCCGCTCGAGCAAATCGATAATCAACGGGAGGGCCTTTACTTTACTTTACTTTTATTTCATTTTTATGTATATATATATATATATATATATATATATCAGATAAATAAAACAACTTTTGAAAAAAATTTGAGGTCAAAAGTGTTTATTTGACTTTGATTTCATGTATCTATTTGAGGTCTAGTGTTAGGAAATACTGAATATAGAACTAACAACTTTGAGTTCCTCAAGTCCCTGATCCTGAAGTGCTCTGAACATAGATCACCTGCATTCTCCCTGTTTGTTCTAGACCCTTGTCTATTTTTCTTTGACTATTCAGTGAACCGTTAATGTTCTCCAAAAGTCTAACTATGTTATGAGGCAGATTCCTGTTGATCTCTTCTTTTCCAATCTCAGATGCAACTTCTCAGTCCACATCATCCTTCTGATTCTAGTCTTTGAATTTCATATTAGGCATAGGAATCCCTATGGTAGGAAACATTGCATCTCTGGTACCCAACACAATTTCTGACAAAACTCCCTATCAACTCTTTTCATGAAGCACTGAAGTGAGCTGAGGAAGGACATTAATGCATATATAACTTACATTTTGCAGCTGGACATGATTCTTCATCAAGTTCTCTGACTTTCCCATTGTATTGGATGCTTTAAGACTGTAACTTTTACCACATTGAGGTTCTTTCAACTGCTCTTGAATTTTCTTAGCTTGTTTCCTGTAGGTTTAAACAAAAAAAGTATAAGTACTTATATAAATTTATTCTATTCTTATTTTTTGAGTTTCACCATTCCCAATGTCTATATTTGTCATTTGCTGGAGCAAAATAAACTCAGTTAACAAAGAACTCTTCCCTCACTTTCTACCAAGAAATAGTTCCAACATAGAAATAGACAGCTATTATGCAGCATCATCCTGGGCTTCACACCCAGTGCCATTCCAAAAGTAGAAAAAATATAATGCATTGCCTTGGCATCTATATATGCAAGAGCTCCATAATCCTGAATGTGCAGCTGCCAAGATCTAGAAAAATTCTGGAGAAGTGACCAGTGAACTTTGAAACATGGGCCTGGCAGTCAGAAATAACCTATTATGTAAAAAGTTACATTTATACTTGTACATGTAGATTGATTGCTGTCTAGCACATATGTTAGAAAAATAGGTACATTTTATCCTTTGTAGTTTAGAAAACACTCATACTGAATACAAAGACTTTTATTCCTGCTTTGCAAATCAGAAAAACACTTAACTTTTAAAAACCTCCTACCAAGTACCAATTATTATTTTAAGAGCTTTACATGTACTGACTCATTTACATTTACAATTCTGTGTGATGAGGTCATGATTTTCTAATCCTTTATGTGAGGAGGTATTTAGCACAGAGAACTTCAAAAATTTGTTCAAAGTCACAAAACTAGTTAAGTGTTGGAACTGAATTTGAATCCAGCTTTATAGTCTGCACTTTCAAAAAACACTCATTTGTCCTTACTTCAAGCTATGTGTCCTTACTCCTGTAGCATTTAGTAGAAAGACTCAATTTTGTTTTATTCCCAGAAAAGTGTTCCTTCCCACAGGTATGGAATGAATTTTGTCTGAGTCATTCAGTTGCTATATAATATGATGTATAACATTGCTGTCTTATAAACTATTCTCTCCGAAGAGCTTTACAACCATCATCTACGGTTGTAAAACAGAAGACTTAGTAAATACCCATATACATACTCATACACAAAAACTTTACCTTCCTCTCCCCTAAACTTTGCCTTTTCCCTCAGGTCGCTGTGAGAATACAGCCTCTAGTGGAGAATTAACATCCCTGTCATGTTTCTATAGACAGGTGCCACTTTACAGAAGAAATGAACTCAATTAGAGAGGATAAGATTTGAATCCCAGACCTGCTATTCACTGGTTACAATTTTATGGCTTCCAAATGATTTGTTCCACAATTTATTTGAGCTTTAGTTTCCTTTCCATAAAGGTGATTTATAAGAGGGCTAGAGTGATAGAGCAAGTAGGGTACTTGCCTTGCATGTGGCTGACCTGGCTTCAAATCTCATATGGCCCCCTGAGTCTGCCAGGGGTGATCCCTGAGTGCAGTGAGAAATAAGCACTGAGGACCACCAGGTTTGGCCCCCAAACAAAACAGAAAAGTGAATTATAAGAGTCCACAGATATTGTGTAAATTAAGGTGAGCGCATATATGATATATTTATTCTCACCTCTCTCTCTTCCTTATGTTAAAACTCAGTACTCTGAGCAGATGCTATGAATGAATTACAATGAGATAAGAGAAAATATAACATTAACTGCCTTTCTCACGAACAAGTCACAGTATTTTCTGTAAAATTTGGAGACTGTGGATCATTAGGATATCTGGATTTTCACCCTTAATGTGAAGTGGTTCTGTTTCTTAAATACTTTTTATCTTTTCAACTATATGTGGGGCTTTTATCTTTAAGACTCTTCATAGCTTTGATTCAGTTGTTGTAATAATCTATTTACTTCCAAACAGGTCATCTGTAACCTGTTTCAAAAACATAAATCTATCATAGCAACATTTTAAGACACACATTATGGCCACAAGGACAAAATTCTATCTGGTTTCACTAAGCAAGGAAAGAACAGGAGGATCCACACAAGTAAATCATATTGAAGCAATAAAAAGTGGCTGGCACAGAGGAAGAGCCCAATTAATACAATGAACAAGTTAAGAATTTGTACAGGAAATGGTAGAACTATTATTTTTAACATAAATAAAAAATAATGCTTGATAAATGTTAGCTTTTGAAAGAAAGGTAAAGGTAAAGGCCCTCCCGTTGTTCATCGATTTGCTCGAGCAGGCCCAGTAACGTCTCCATTGGAGACTTTGTTGTTACTGTGTTTGGCATATCGAATACATCACGGGGAGCTTGCCAGGTTCTGCCGTGCGGGCGAGATACGCTCCGTAGCTTGCCGGGCTCTCCGAGAGGGGCGGAGGAAACTGAACTCCGGTCGGTCATGTTGGCTGTGTGCAAGGCAAACGCCCTACCGCTGTGCTATCGCTCCACATCAAAACTGAGTCTGTTTCCTAAGTCTATTTAATAAGTTAGTACAGTTATTCAGTCTCTAATGGTTTACGATAAATGCCCTTTCCTTTCAGAGTTTGTCTCTTTCTGTACCATTCGTCCACTATCAAAAACAGACACATTTGCTCTTTCCTTCTACACCAGAGGGAGCAGAGGAATTCAACAGTGTCCGTTTGCAATACCATTAGCCTGCTCCAGAGAGAGCAGTTGTTCTGGGGAAGACTATATATGGACATTGCATCCTGCTACCCTACTAGCTTAGTAAGGTCAGAATTAATCTTTTAATATTTATTGAGTGTTAAGTTTCTCTGACCTAATTCAACCACAAGAAAAGAAATATAAACTGTAGAATAGCAGACACCACCAATCTGTTAGTAGACATTATTTGTAATGTTACATGTTTGGCTTGCCCGGGAAGCAGACACTGGAGTTGAAGAAAGAACACAGGTTGTTTTCTTTTGTTTCTTTGTTTTCTATTTGTTCCAGGAATGCAAGAATCCAACTCAGAGACTCATGCTTGCAAAATGTGTCGAAAGGAGTTTTCACTAGTTCCTGGATCAGCACATGTGGAAGTGAAGGGAAGCAGGGTTGGGTAGAGAGAAGTGGAATGTAATGCAATATCAGCAAAGATCCCAGGAAATATTAAGAACTCTGACACTTGAGTCTTGTACCCCAAGCAGGGGTGAAATTAAAGCCTTCTGAGTCACATAAGAATCTTAATCAGTTGTTATTGCAGAGCATGTGATTGAAAAGGGGCATCCTATCACAGCTATATGGTAATAAGTGGGAGACTAACATCTTCACTGCTGAAGAAAATTTTAGGATCATATCTAAGTATCTATTACATGTTCTTAAGATACTCTATATGTTGTCTAAAACCTCTTAAATGAGACAGTCATTTAAGAGCCTACAGTCAGGGAGGTTGCATTCATATTCTTGCTCATAAGTGGTGGCCAGATACTCCTATATTTTTCTGTGCCTCTCTAGTTCAGATAATGATAGTTTTGTAGCCTCTGCCTCCCCAAACAATTGCTTTCTGCTGTATAAATCCACTTTTAGACTTTAAACATGCCTTGCATTCCCAAATTCTATTAAGAACACTTATAAGCCAGTCTCTGATATCTGACCTGTTATGAGCTAAATGTAAGGAGAAAACCCACAAGAATTTATAGTAGCTATGTGTACCTGATTATTTGGTGGACAGTTTTATTAAATATTCATGACAATATTTGGTTTACTGAAAATAAAAAATGTGGGGTTCACACCCAACTGAGCTCAGAGTTTATTTCTGGCTCTATGCTCAGGCATCACTTTTGGCAGTGTTAGGGGACAAAATGTGATGCTTGGAATCAAACCAGAGCTAGCCAAATAGAAGAGTCATTTGTTGGCTATTTGCTATCAAAATAAACTTTGTACTATCTGTTTATCACTCGTGAAATTTTTGTATTGCATCCTTTTTGAATTGTGGGGCATTCAATTTAATCAGTAACAAAATTTTTGGAATTCGAATAGGAACTCCTTATTTCTATCTCATCATGTTTCCTGCTTTTAAACTGTTAGCACCTCTTATAATATTTCTTCTGGTGTCAATAATGGCATACAAGAGTGACAAGAGAATGGAGAAAGGACCAGGATGCCAGAATTTGGGGAATTATGCAAAAATAAAACCTAAATAACCAAGAATATTTGTTTTTGCTCTTTATGGTTGGGAATTATGTATTCCAGTATATAAGATCAGAATTCAAGTGAATTTATTTAGAAATCAATAATCAAAAGATTCCTGAATCTTGGTAGACTTCCAAGATGAAGTTAAAACAAAATTAGAAACTCAGGTAAACAACGTTAGAGTATGTATGAAGTTATCCAAGGTAATGTAGGATCTGCCTATTTTGCTCTCTTTAAGGATTTCGGAGAGAATTAGCATTCCAGGTATGTATACAAAGACACTTGTGCCAAGGTATTTTCAAAAGTTCACATTGCTTTCAGCAATGCAGATTAGGTGCTTTATCTGGAATATGACATTCCTCTCAGGCAAAGACAAATCCAGAGACGACGCTTGAAACCGCTAGAAATAAATACACTCAGTCTCTGAAAAGAAATATTGAGTCCAGTTCAATTTTTTATAACTTTATTATTTCTACATTTACTTATTTATATTTTAATTTAAAAAATGTGTTCCAGCTGGACTGGCAACAAGGCAACAGCATCCTGGTATGTGCTTTCCTCTGGCTTAGTCCTCTGAATAGACCTAACATAGTCTATAATGGACCTTACATTGAAGAACGTTTTCTGTGACACCTGGCTGAGTCCTGGGAGGAGATGCTGCGATCAAAACCTACTTGCTATTCCAGTTAGGGAGGGACTGACAGTTCTAAAGATGAAAGTTTGAGTTACCCAGCTGTTCTCCACTCCTCTGACTTTCACAATTATTTCTCACTTAATTGTGGTACAACTGCAAATTAAGGTCTGGGAATAAGTGATTTACTACTGTATAGTGATTTGCTGATCATTAAGTAGACGATTTCTTTTCTCTACATGGTGCTTATGAGGAGACCCCCCTAATAATTGCTGAATACAATAATCCCTCTCCTGATCCAGCATATGCATTGCAACCGGTTAGACAGCCTCTCCATTCAGTGTACAAAACCATAGGTTTTAACAATAGCAAACCTGCACTGAGTAGTCAGTTTCTTAAATAGTTTTGGGCTCTTTTCAGTATTATTCTATTTAATTCTTTACATAGTCTATCTAGTGAGTTATTTTTAGATGTATATTAGCGAGGCTAAAGTCTAGTTGTAACTTGTCTTATAATGCAAATCAAGGAAGGGGCACTTGAAAAATATGAATCTAGTGTGACTAGTGCACATAAAATCTTGACCACTATGCTAAGTGGCTTTCTTAGAAATAAAAAATGCCATGAAATAATCAGCTTTGATGTACTCTACAGTTTCAACATCTAGAATGAGTCCTCTGTGACATGGCAGGGACTCACGAGGGAATTCAAAGAACCCATCCGCAGTGTCTTACTATTGGTCTGATGAACTAATATTTTAAGATAAAGTTTCATGTGCTTTGGAAATTGCAGTGATAACACAAAATTTCATTGTGTGAGAACTGGGAAACAACACATATAAATCCCTATGTCCCCAGGGAAGAGTAAATACTGAGAAATGAACACCAATTACAGCAACTATCAAAAGCTGCCTAGAATATGTGACAATTAGTGTAATGGGATATCCTGGATGCAGATCTGGAACAAAAAGAGCATATTTGGTAGAACTACTATAATTGGAAAGTATGTAATGTGGTTAGTAACACCGTATTGATACTGTATTAGCACATTATTGATCACAATGTTATTAACCACAGCTCATAAATGTGACAAATGAGACACATTAGTAGAAGATATTAATAATGGGGGAAAATTGATATGAAGCATATGGTTTTTATCTGTATATTTCCTCAGTAATTCTCAAAGTTAAAACCTATTCTAAAACAGATTATTAGAGTTGCTAATAATGGATTCAAACTATAGTTCTCATTTTTTTTCCTACATGTGCTGTTCAAACCCTAGAGAGACTATAGAAGAATCAAAATTATTAGTAAAGGTTTGATGAACCCATTTGCATAAAAATCCCTCAGCTTAGAACAAACACTGAAAACAAACAAACAAAAAGGACTTTCTCTGAGAAGTAACTTCTTAACAGTTGAAAAAAATGACCTTACTTGCTCTTGAAGTAGAAAGCTGCACAGAACATGCCCACGATGATAATTCCAAAGATGATACATGAAATTGACAGCACCTGCCTCTGATAAATCTCTTCACTCTCTGTGAATTTGAAAAAAAGAATTAAAATGAATGTTAGCAGGGCATAGTAGAGACAATCTTCATCCTTGTATTTCTGAGGCAGCAGGAGCCTTTCAAGGCCAACTTTTTTCTTTCTCGTCATAAATACAGAAAGCAAGGAAGTTGATTCAATTTTAATGATAATTCAATTTTTAACAGTTTTATTTTTGTATCTATATGGCTAAACCAGAACTCATACAGAGCTATAACAATTACAAATTGTCTTATCAAAAGAAATTTTATGACTTCAGGATGTACTGGAAACATATATTTTTCAAACCGAATGGAACTCAAAATAATCTACCAAGGGAAAAATAATGTCCACAAAACCATTCCTGTGCAAGTAATGGCTTCCAATATATTTTATATGAAAGTGATGCAACCGTATATTCCATATTGACCCTTAATTTTTAATGTTCTATTAATTTACCTATTATTGACTGATGCGATTAATAAAACTTCAGTTTGTCACATGAATGCTTTGTTCACTCATCCTGTGATTTCCTCGATACAACATATTATATATAATACACAGAGCAAGAATTCAATAATGAGCATTTAGTTTTTCAGCCACTACATTTATATCCCTGCTTATTTCCTACAATATGTCTAATAAAAAAAATTCTTCCATCTCATCAAGAATTTTAGAACATTGACCCTAGAATTTTCTCTCACAATTATCCATATCATTTTTCGTTTTATTATAAAGTACAAAACCTATTATTAATGACCACTGTTACTCACTATGTTGTAAATACCCTCAAGGACTATGTTCCTCTCTCTTTTCCTTTTGTCCATTTGGCAAAGTAACAGTGTATGATTCCAAGTAAGTGGACTTCTTTGCCTATCTAAGTTGACAAGCTTAGACTCAGGAAAATAGATTATACAATTGGGGAGATGGACACTGATAGCCTAATAATAATTTTGACTAAGTGGACATCTAATGATGATTAATAATTTCATCAGTGTGCTACTTCATATTTTTCTAATGATTATACATACATTTTTCTAAAATTTCTAACATGCTTTTTATTCTTTCCTTCCTTACTCTCAGATCTTTAATACATGTTATAAGGAAAAGAAAGCTGGATAGGGCAGGAATGATAGTACAGTAGGTAGGGAACTTGCTTTGCACACACCAACCTGTGTTCCATCCCCAGCATCCCTTATGGTCCCTGAGCTTCCCAGGAATGATCTTGAGCACAGAGCCAGGTGTAAGCCGTAAGTACCTCTGGGTGTCACTCCCAAACCATAAGAGAGAAAGGGAAGAGAGAGAGAGAGAGAGAGAGAGAGAGAGAGAGAGAGAGAGAGAGAGAGAGAGAGAGAGAGAGAGAAGGTGGAAGCCAGGGAAGTAATTACAGAAGTAATACAGAAGTTCATGCAACACAGTTGTCATCCCTCCATTTAATTCTGGAGGCTTTGGAGCTCTGGTGGTCCGGCATTGTAGCATCCAAGCAGCACTAAAAATAATTAAGACCTAGCCCTAATCTCCTGACCTCTCTGTCCTCCTTGTTAAGTATAGCCTGGAGTGTACCTGGGGCTCCCCTGAGCATTGCTTGGGTGACCTCTCTCCCACAAAAGAAAAGGAAGTCAGTACAGAATAAAGTATTTCCATTTATAACACAAAGCATATGAACATATGGACACCCCTTTCCTCTCCAATCTTAACAGGTCTTAACTGGGTATCACATGTCTGAATTTCATGAACTTCCAAGCAGACGCTGATGCATCTAAACACAAAAAATATTTTGAGGACTGTTGAGTAGACCACAAATTGTCAAAATATCTATATCAAGTGAATAAGAATAAGTTAGGGATCCATGTTTGAAATTTCTAGATAAAAATATCTGTTTAAAAGAAATATTTCAAGTGGTTTTCATATAACTGGAGTTTGAGAAGGAGCCATTGGAATTCAATAAAAGATAGAAAATACTTTGATTAGTTTCTCATATACACTAAAGTTAATGATTCATATAGTACAGTTTTTAACTTTTATCTGAACATTTTGTTCTTTGATTTGTACCATCTAAGGATCTTTGAATTAATGGATAGTGAGAGGCACAAATTGTAATTGATGACATCATTACCTTAAACCCAAATTAGAAAAACAATATTAAAATAATATCAATTTTTCTTTCTCATTAATGATCATGATCACGATCATCCTGTTGTTTGTCGATTGCCTCGAGCAGGCACCAGTAACGTCTCCTTCTTCCCAGCCCTGAGATTTTAAAAGAGCCATTTCAACACTCTTTCAGGATTAGGAGAATGAGACCCATCATTGTTACTGGTATTTGGCATATTGCGTATGACACGGGAAGTTTGCCAGACTCTGCCGTGCAGGCAGGATACTTTTGGTAGCCTGCCAGGTTCTCCAAAGGAAAAATAAGATAGTAAGATGTTGCACAGCCGCGAATGTGGCCGTGCGCTTCCGGGAGCTGGGTTTTATAGTCTCTGCGTGTTGGCCATTGATGGGACCAACCTGGCGCTGGTGGCAGCTGGTGGGTGTGACGCCTACCTACTGGAAGATGGGGGGTCTGGGTAGAGAAGGCCCAATCCCAATCCGAATAGGCTTGGAGATCTCAGTCCCAGGACCCGCATGCCTGGGTTCCTCTGCGAGTTCTTTCATGTATGAGGCCCATCCGGACATGTGGAGAGTGGTCCCAGCATGGCCGTGGCTGGCTCCGAAGGTCCTCAGCTGCTGGGGCTTTGCTCGGGGCTGGAGTGGGGGAGAGAAACTCAATCCTCCCCCCTCCAAGGGGCCCCGGTGAGGACACCCAGGCGCGGGGGCAGGAGACTCTGCGCTGTTCTCTGGGAGCTATGTTTTATAGTCTCTGCGTCTTGGCCATTGATGGGACCAACCTGGTGCTGGCGGCAGCTGGTGGGTGTGATGCCTACCTACTGGAAGATAGGGGGTCTGGGTGGAGAAGGCCCAGTCCTAATCCGAGTAGGCTTGGAGACCTCAGGTTGAAAATAATGTTTAGGAATTTAATAATCAAGAGATTTCACATGCATTTTGATGAGCCAAACCCTCTTGTGGGGTTCATAGGTTGCAATAAATACCATCAGTTCTAGGTTCATTCACTTCAGTTCATTCCAAACTAGCGAACAAGCAGGGCAAAATTTACATAGATCAAGTTTTCACCTGCTTCCCCACTTTTCCAACAACATGTCTGAGGAGAGGAAGCACTTCCAGTATTCCAGTACCAGCTATGGTCCAGAACTGAACTAGGGTATAGAGGGAAGGGTCAGGGCATAGGATAATGCACTTTCTCTCTGAGGATGCTCCTTGCCCACTCTTCCACAAGCGTTCAGAGCCCCCATGTTGGGAAAGAGGAGTGCTGGGGAACCTGGGGTGAGGTTGGCTGAGCTTCCTCAGGCCCAGCTAGATTGGGTGCAGCCTCCATGTGATGTCATTGTTCCCAGGCTGTGGGGGTGGAGGTCAGGGCTCCCAGGAGATGTTGGATTTCTCTTAAGATCCATTGTAGCTGGAGAGCTGGTGAGTGGCTAAAACAGTTCTTAAGCCTACCCATAAGCACATAATGTATGGTCACCGATTTCCTATTTCTTGCTGTATCATAGGGCTGAAGCAGTCCTTTTTTCAGTGACCTGTTTTGCTTAATGTTCACACCAAACAGTGCTCAGATGCTTCTCCAGGCAGGGTGATCAGGGGTTGCTTCTGGGATGCTCAGGGTACCGAGTGGTCTAGGGATCAAATCCAGGCCTTCAGTAGGCAAATCTTGTACTTGCGTCCTTGGAGCTGTGCTAGCCCCATGTTTGTGAGAGGGCCCACCTAAGCCCACCTAGCTGGAATGACTACCAACTTCAGCATTTGGGGGACCAATAGGGGAGAGATGGAAATCACTGAATTAACAGACCCAGAAAAGGCATCCAATCCAGAGCCACAAACTCCCTGATTGCCCGGAGTCCTAGCAAACAGGGAATAGGTCAGTTGGAAGTTCAGGTTAGGGGTCTAAAAGGGGCTCAGAGAAGTAGGGTCTCGGTTTCTCTCTGGGGAGAAGTCCCTGGTCACTTGATCGATCAGTATCTGGACTCTATGCTTGGCAGGAAATAAAGCTCTATTGAACTTTCACATTTGTGCTGCGCTTGTTTCTTAGATCACAGACCCTAACAGTTTGAATATCCACTTGATTCTTCTCTTGAAAACCATCATGCAACGAGAACAATTCTTGCTGCCCACAGAGGGGCTGATATTTCAGATTCAGAAACCTGCAAAGCTCCTATCAGTCAGTTTTCTTTCTAATGGTTTCACTCTTCAGCAGAGGTTAGAATGAAAATGTTAGAAACCCATATTGAGAGGGCAGAAATGTAGCCCAGGAGTTAAGGTTAGGAATCTCTGACATGGTTTCTGGGATTGAGAAAGTAGTGGACTGTACTACTTGGCAAGGCAAGAAGGGTCAGGGTATGGAATCCTACACTTTCTCTCTGAGGACGCTCCTTTCCCACTCTTTGTCTTGCCATTCAGAGAGCCATGTTGGGGAAGGGGGAGTGCTGGGGTTCCTGGGGTGGGGATGGGGAGCTTCCCCCAGGCCCAAGTGTTGCATGAGCAGGAGTGGGTGCAACCTCCATTGTGATGTCCCTGTTCTCTGCACAGGGCTGTAGGACATGGAACCAGGAATCCCAGGGGGTTTGGAATTCTCACTGGCCAATGGGGTTGCAGAACCTGGACCACACCCATGAGCCCCCTCTATAAATGCGTGGCCTCAGCCTCTTGATGCACCATCTCTCAGCACCGCCGTCCTTGAGGACAAATCCTCAAGGACAACGGGAGTAAGGAGATGAGGCCCCAACCCCCACCCCCAGTGGTGATCAGTGAGAATAAAGAGATGAAATTACACCTGGCTAAAGCCAGGGAAATGGTAAGAAAAAGGTGCTGGGACCTGGTCCTTGTTTCTATTCTCTGCCACAAGCCATGATCATTTAGCTGTAGCCCCCATTGTTTAAGCGAGCCCCTTCCTCAG